TCGTGTTTTCTCGCGGCCACGGCCTTCAAGGCCGAACTCATTCGTTTCCATCCACACACGGAGGAGAATTATGAGATTAACGCGGTGAACGAGGCTCCGGCCAAGAGGGAAAGATGGCTGGGGCGGGTTGGCCAGAAGGTTAGGGTTGCCCGACAATGTCGCGCAAACGAACGAGCCACCCTATGCGCGAGCCCGCCACGCCCTTCTTGCTGCGTGGAATCGCAAATTGGCACCCCAACCTGACCACCTCTTGCTTCCACCGCGTCTAACTTCACTCCCCTAACTTTTCCTCGACACCCTTTCCCGATCGAACCCCCTCGCCGAGCCTGGACCACCGATTTCCAAACTTGATCACTTTTTGATACCATCGCGCGTCATCCTTATAATTTTCTTTGCCCCAATTTATTCTATCGTCCATTATTCATTTCATTTATTTCTGTCAAATTTTCTATCAATCGTATGCGAATTATTTCTCTAAATTTTAAATCTTCTTAAATTAAAAATTTAAGAAGATGGATAAATAAATCGGCGATCGATGTTCGATATGCCTACGTTCATATTGTCTCCATATAAATTTTACACGTGATCGAAATTTTATCCTAATTTTCGAATCTCTAAACTTCACTACCGAAGATAGAAATCTCTCTGTCTTATATCGAAGACGGAAATTCCTTCGATTTCTCTGAATTCGGCGAACAATCGGATGAACAATCGAACGAAACGGAAGTTTCCCCGAAAGTCGACTCGCAATCCTTTCGTAATAATAATAATAACAATAATAATAATAATAATAATAATAATAATATACGTAACAGCGCAAAGATTGAAACGAAGGACACATTTATCAGCGAGGCTTGTCACCGAGGTTGTCACGGTGCTTCTTCGTCCCAAAGACAATCTAGCGAAAGAGAGTGGTCTAACAGCGATGATCCTCGGTCGGATAGAGGCGGTTTATGGTGGTGGAAGGAAGGGACGAGAAATAATAGAATTAGTTCGACCAGACGAGGAGACCTCCTCACTTAGCTCGCTATAATACGAGCCAAGTTCCGTCACGAAGACCTTAATATCCGCCACTTCCTCCGCCTCCCACTCGTTCGTTTGTTTATTCGATATCGTCCGCCGTCTTTAGCAGGCCGTGGCTCGCTCTTCCTGACCCCTGCACGATACTAATTCCCTTTCCTACTGCGCTCTATCCTCTCCATCCCAACACGCGCGTGCGTTCGTACATTCGTATATCGCGACGCCGATCATCGACACCGATTATCTTTCCCATTTTCGATTCCTCTTTTTTTTTTCTTTTTTTCTATTACAAATTATCCTATCCGTAGCATCTCGAACGCAATTCTTCTCTCTTCTCTCCCTTTCGTTTTATCTTTTATTATTCTCCAAAAATCGGGAACGAGAAAATTATTTCAATATTCAGAATCAGCGTCCCGATCTTCATTCACGATAAAGCGACGCAAAGGGCGCTTCTTCTTCTCTCGCTCGTTCTAAGTAAGCACGTTGCTCGGTGGAAGGCATCAAGATGATCGTGACGCGCGATACTTAACTTCTCGAGCAGTTTAATAGTTTAATTTTCTGCTCGCCTCGTGTGTTTGTTCTCGGCTTCTAGATTCGGATCTCATCTTCGGCGATGCAATTAAAGAGGTGGGGAGGAAGGGAAGGATGGAGAGACGGGGATAATAGAACAAGGGGGATGTCGAGGGGAAGTTGAATTAAACGAAAAAGGCGCACCACACCAGTACAGGCTTGGAACCGCGTTTTGTCTGGAAACACGATCTTCGACACGGATTTGATTAAGACTCGGAAGTACTCGTTAACGATTGACGCGAATGATCTCCTCCTCTCCTCTTACCACCGCTCGTTAGCCCTAACGAACTTGGGATAAACCGCAATTGACCCCGTTTCTCCCGCTTTTTCTTGGATGGAAGAGAAAAGAAAATGGCCAATCTCTCCCAAGTTTTTCTCCACGTTTATCGTCCCTCTTGGAATATTAATCAATCCGCGTTTGACGTGACGCTCGTCATATATCGAACTCGTCAAGCTCTAGCCACGCGCAACGAGTGAAAAACGTCTCTTCGGAATTCGAACGGTTCGCCGAGTTTCAACGATGGAAAACGCCACTTGGAGAGAAAGAGAGAGAGAGAGAGAGAGAAAAAGAAAAAGAAAAACGAAAAGGAGCAGACAATCCACTCGACGTAATCTTTTCGAAGGTACGTCACAATGAATACCGACGCCTTACCCAGCCGAGGATCCACACAGTCGAGAAAGAGAGAGAGAGAGAGAGAGAGAGAGAGGATCCATCGACCATTGTGTCCATTATAGGTTTTTGTCCCCCCCTCTCCTCTTTTCTCTCCCGGTTGCAAGGTTTCCCCGTGCGTCTTGTGAGACTTTGTGCATTGTCGTGCCACCGCTTCGTGCCCTCTTTCCCTCTTTCCACCGCTCTCCTTCCTTTTTCCACTTCCTTCCACACTCCTCGATTGTTCTTCTTCCCTTCTTCCCTTCTTTCTTTCTTTCTTTCTTTCTTTCTTTCTTTCTTTCTTTCTTTCTTTCTCCTCTGTCCCCCTCCTTCCCTCCTCCCCCCTTTTCACCGAGTATAAGTTTACGTTTGGAAACCGCGGCCGAGGCGCGCACACCGCATTCATCGGTAACATCGGTACACCTTTTTCCGCCGATGGTCCCGCACGGACGAGCAAGCGTAGTCGCGCGTAGCGAACGACTGAGCGAGTGTCGAGTGTGCCGAGCATGGCCGCTTTTGTCGAAGAAGGAAGAGTGGCCTTTGTCTCGTCGTAAATCAATATCCAGATAAACGAACGATTTAATCGTCGGTTGGGTAATTGGCTTATTAAGCATCGCCGCGATTATTACGATCAGCCGAACTCGGATTGTAATCACAGTGAGGAGAAGTGTAGTCACCATCGATCGAATCTCTCTCGGCGGTCCATGGATGGTACGTCACATCGTTCCGACGGATATCAGATAGAGTGTAATTGTTTTTTCTTTTTTTTTTTTCTTTTGCTAATTTTCCGAGTATAATTATCCGAGATAAAGAGGAGATAAAGAATTAATTTTGATCAGTTCAAGCGAAATAGTTTCGATTTTGGGATATTTTTTTGAAAATATCGATGATATAACTCTCCTCTTGTTTTCTTGATCTATCTATAGGATCGATTTTATTATTCATTTTGCAATATTCGAAATAATCTTTTTTCTACGATTTGATCTTGAAGTCTCGTCAAGATTCTTTGATTCTATTCCTGATACATGATCAAAAAATACGTAATGTAAAGTGTTGTAAGTGAAAAAAGTAAAATATATATTCAGCGAAATAGAATAATAATTTATACATACCAGAGGGAATTCCGCTTATTCCCATTAAGAAAGTTTCCACACGAATGAATCTCGATATTTCACGAATTTTCCAACTCTTCCAAGACACCGTGTAGACTGGTAGAGGACGCGGAATAGTCGGTGGCTTTGCTTTAAGCGAGATAGAAGTACAGTTATCCATAAAAGTAGAGCATGCGTACACCGCCTCTAGAACGGCAGGTGGTGTCCGCTACCGGTGAACAAAGAGAAAAAGGGAAGAAAAAAAGAAAAAAAAAAAGAAAAAAGAAAAAGAAAAAAAAAAAGGAACGTACCGTCAGGATACATCGGATTTTGCCTTCGTTTTCTGCTCGATTCTCGGCTCCTCCTGGAAACGAGGTTGGAATCCGCTGTCCTCCATCCGAACGCCACTTTTTCAACAACGCCGCCATTTTCATTTCACGAATAAATCGTGAGGAGAGTAGAGGGTTGGTTGAATAATAAGGTTACACGTGAATTATTAAATCGATCGATTTAAATTGAATTAATTAGTTATTATTCATATTTTATACAATAGTAATCATAATTAAGGTATTTTAGTCCTCGTAATATCTATATTCGTACAAGGGTACTTCAATAAAATTGATAAACTGGGGTCTGCCGTGTTGTTATTTAACCTATATGTATATAGACGATTCTCTGGCTTCCTCTCTTTCTCTCTCTCTCTCTTTCTTTCTTTCTTTCTTTCTTTCTTTTTTTTTTCTTTAATCCCATATCTTTACACATCTTATCACAATATCGTATTTTACACAGATTCTTCTTCTTTTTTTTTTCCTTCTTCTTCTTCTTCTTCTTCTTCTTCTTCTTTTCGAATTTTGTATTTACGTCTTACGTGCTAACAGGGGGTTGGGCCCCGGTGCAATATTTACACGCACACGAGGGAAAAGGGGGATCGAACATTTTTATAAATCTGTTCACGCCGCTCACATCCGATCCCCGTTTCAGCTTGCACCGGGACTAGTAACGCTAGTAAATTCTACGGACTCCATCTCCTGTTCCTCTTTTTTTTTTCTTATCCCCATCTCTTATCCCCTTGCATCTTTTTCTCTCTCTCTCTCTCTCTCTCTCTCATTCACGCACGATGCTCCATTATATTATCTCTTCACTCAACTTCACTCATCCCAACGCCAACGCTTCGTTCGTTCGCAAGTCTCCATCGCAAAGTCGAAGTCCGTTTCGCTCGTCCTCGGCCGGTTCTATTCTATTATCCCGCGAACTCGACGAAAGCGTGACAAAGCTGAAACTGCAACGCGTTACGCGTTTCTTCTCGCAACGACGAACACAATCACGGAGGAGAGGGGAAGAGGGGAGGGAGGAGGGACACGCTTCTTTTTCCCCTCCCCTCGCGTACCCCCTTTTTCCTCTTAATTTTTGCTCTCGAGGAGTCGACGAGAGCAGGATAAAAAAAAAAAAAAAAAAAAAAA